GGGGGGGGGAGGGGAGGGGAGGGGGAGGGGCCGGCGGGGCGGGCTGCGCTGCGCTGCGCTGCGCTGCGCCGCGCGTGGGCCGCGGGGGTGGGCGCTGCGCCGGGGCTCCTGCCCCGCCGCCCGTCCTTCTGCCGCGCTTTTGTTGCAGCCGCGCGCGGGGCAGCCCGTGCACCCGACCCCCCCAAACTCCGGTCGGTTGGGCTGAGGCCCAAGGTCATTCAAGGAGCCGTGCCGCCCCGTGGGGGGTTGGAAGCCCGGTTTCCCGGCAGGGTCCGGAGGGACCTGTCCGTGGCCGAGCGGACGCGCGAAGCCCGGGGCTCCTTGAAACGGAGCTGCGTCCCTCCTCTTTGACTCCCCTTCGCCCCTGTGCATGCGGAGTCCTTAATGTCATCGGTTAACCAGTTGGCTGAGATTTGGGGGCAGTGGTTGACCCACTTGGCTCCGGCAGTGCTTTGGGCTGGTGTGGTGCGGAGGATAGTAAAACGGTGCTTTTAGCAGGCCTGCTGAATTCTGGACGAACTTTCCAAAGTGCTGGGCTTTAATCAGAAATGGGAGTTGATAGCTCTTGAGTTGGTTTATAAATTTACTGGTTATTTATTTCTGTTTGTTTGTTTATATAACTTAGTATGTGTGGCATGCTTTGTAGAGGGCAAACCTTGAGAACTTGGCAATCTGCTATTTGACACAGGGGAAATGGGGAGGGGGTGAGAGAAGTGGGGGCAGGAGTAAATCAGAGAAGGAATATGGCAAATAAAACATGGGATAAGCGGCTGAGCCAGTGTCTTTAAGGAAAAGGTGGGTCTTGGGGAGGGATTAGATTCTAGTTTCCAGGCAGAAGTGACATCTTGCCTTAGTATGCAGGTATGGTACCAGCTTGAGTACTCTATTTCCTGAGAAGTTTTCAGATCCATTTATATATGCTAATTATTGTTATTTTGTATTGGAAACATATTTGTCTATTTCCTTATTCATAAGGTGGGAATATATTGAAAAGGGCTAGTGCTGTATGATTCAATTACTTGGTAATGCAAAATCCATACCCAGAAGCTACTAGTTAAATTTCATGATAGACCTGAGTGAAGTATGCTAGCTGTTAAATCTTTTCTTTACAGGAAGTGTGAAGTCACCAAGTTATGGTAGTGCCTTAATGTTGTACATAGGTGACAGGAATGCATACCCTTGTATTTCACCTTTCTGATCTTTAATTAGGGTTAGCGTTAGTACGAGTACATTTTGGGACTGCTCATTCAACCCACATTGAGGCTGAGGCACATCTGGAGTAAGTACAACTGCCATGTTTAATATAGAAGCCCAACTCAGGGGTTGTTGTGTGTGAATCTGGATTATGTGGGGATTCGCCTTCACATAATTTATGGTCTGTTTTAGGGTTCTGCAAGATTCAAGGGTTGCTTAACCCTTGCATAACAGTTCCCAGGTAGGGGTTTCCTGGCATCTGCAGGTGTTGCAGCTTGTTATCATTTCAGATAGATAATTTTTAAGGTTTTAATTTTGTGAACCACCAAGAGAGTTTTTGTTGCTGGATGGTATACAAATTAGAATAATTTGTATCTACTACATAAAGCTTGAAAGAGAGAGACCTTTTTCTTGTGCCTTTTGAAGCTTAGGAAATTATTTCTGTTGTGGTGGTTTTGAAACACTGAATTTTAAGAAACAGGACTGGCTTCCCATTCTTCAATTCAGAATTTTTAAGTGAAGATAAAATGAATATTCTCTCTTGGTAACTTTATTTAAAAAGTTGCCACTCTGTGGAATAGTGTAGTTTTGATGTGGCCAAATATTATAATTGACAGGATGGGTGTGATGTTATATTTTCAGTTTTATATATATATGGGTGTGATGTTTTATATACACACACACACACACACACACACATATATATATATATATATACATATATCGCTTTGTTTTTATGCATTTCATGTATATTTTTGTTGTTCGTTCTTTATCTAGCATCTCATGACATGAAGGGTGTAATCACGTGCCTTCTGTCCTGGTTGCATGTAAGCCTCCCACCTCAGAGGCTTAAGTGCATGATGCAAGACATGCCAGTGGAAACCTTTGCTGTCAGCATACCTTGTGCCATGTATTTCATCTAGATGTTCATTTTCAGGCATCTCAATGAAGCACCGAGGAGGGGAGGGGAGGGGAGGAGGCTTGGATGCCGTCTGGATCTTGGGTGAACCACTGGCCATGGGCTCTTGCCCCCCCCCCCACCCCCCTTTCCTTCTCCCCAAAGCCGGTTTGTGACCGCAGAGAGGCAGCTGACATGGTACTTTCTGTCCCTGCTGCAGGGGATCAGTGGGTGGGTGGACTGGAGGCTCAGTTTCCAGAGTCCCAGCTATCTGGCCACACGACCCTGGGACTCCAAATAACCCAAAAGATGTCAGGAAACCATAGAATTATGCATTATTATGGCATTTGAACATGATGGCCAATCAATTTGTGAGAGAGTCTCTTTGTATTTTGGTAGGTATCTGCAGGACCCTGACTGAAGTGCATGATTGGTGGGTGCTTTAGGACAGTAAATGCATTTCTTAGGCAGACATTATTTCTGCTTAAAAAATTAAAAATGCGTGCCATATTAATTAGAATACTGTTCATTTGCTGCTGAGTATGCATAAACATTCCCAACTTCATCTTTAATTTGTCATATTCAGCAGCTCAGCATCACTACATTTTCCATGTGCCCAAGCAGCACAGTTTTGTTCTTCTTTGGTCTAGGCCTAGAAAAACATTTCAGCATCCCCAAAACTGGGGCGCAAAAGTTCTGTGAGTGACTTTTCCCAAGTAGGCGGCCTTGAATGTTCTGTTACATAAAAATCCTGATGTTAGTTAGAATCTCTGTGTTGTCATTTTTGTTGAATGGCATTTTCAGTCACAGCACAGGCAGAGTAACATCTCAGGAGGCCGCAGTTTGAAAAGTGGAGTAACTTTATGTCAGATGAAGATCGTGAAACACTGAAAATGTGGAAATACATTTCACATTGCTCTTGTTAAATCTGACCTATATGTGGGAGATGTGGTGCTTCAAGATTTAAGGCTTTGCAACGGGCCGCTTTTCTTTCTTTTCCCTCCAATTGTGGGATTGTCTTTGCTGTTCACTGACTCTGGATGTCATGTTGAGGGGTAAACAGTTGGGGTCTGCTTCCTAGCTCGAAGCCAGCGTAGCCCCAGTCCAAACCACTCTTTCCTTGTTACGCACTTCAGTTTCCCATCAATCAGAACACAGGGAAAAGAAAGAAGGTATATAAGAAGAAAATGCTGGTAGAGCTTTCTCTGCAGTTAATGTGGCAGAGAAGGGATTAAAGAAGCTTTTGCCATATCCCCCCATCACATGGTGAATAGATAAAGTGCAAGCGCCTGCGCCCTGTGTCCCATTGTGGGTGGGAGTGTCCCAGTGGGTAGAGCCAATGTTTCCCGCCCTTCAACCCTTTCCTTAGTATAAAGTAAAAATAAAATAGTATAAAATATGGTCCCTGCTAATACTTAGTTACTGATCATGAATCATCAGGGATCTCTCAGTCTGAATTCCTTCCAAAGTCTGGTCTGTATTGACATCAGTTTGGGCCTTTTATCTATTTTGGTTTTTTGCTGTGATATTATTCATATTTATAAGTTTGTACAGGATGCTTTATGACCTTTTGTAGGACTTCCAAAATAGTGTACAAGACATAATAAAAATATCCAAATATAAAATAATTGATAGTGAACACCAAAGTTCTGGTAACACCAATTTGGTAATAGCCTTGGGCTTGAAAATCTTTGAAAGAAGCTAGGAGGAAGGGGTCTCCAGGGTCTCCATCGGTTTCCTGAGGACTGGGGCCTACATGCTGCCACCAAGAATATTCTGGCCTGCATCCTCTTCTTATGCACCTGAGGATTTAGTGGCAGCATGCAGAACAAACCCTTCCCTTCTGGGTGAGTGGAAACATGCAGAAATAGCCAGTTCTTTAAATACCCTTGGCCAAAACCATATAGGGTGGTATAAGTGACCATCAGAACTTTCAGCTAGACTCAGAAACATGCAGATTGAATAGGAAGAACGCAACTCACCTCAGTTGATCCCCCCCACCCCCCGCATCAGCAGCATAGCGGAGCATTCTGAACCAAGGACAGTAACCTAGAATTCTTTAAAAAAAACATCCCAGTGTGGTGCACATTGCAATAGTTCAGCTTCCATGTAACTAAGCGTGTGTGATGGTGATAGTCTGGAGCACTGAGGAAGAATGCTGTGTTGTAATGGATTCTCTGCCATACTCAACACTTTTATATACATTCTTCTCTTGAACTGTTAACATAAACATACTTACATATTCAAATGGGAAAATAAAACACATACAGAATTCTCACAACTCTTGTACATGTAATCCGCATTTGACTTTTAGAATTGAATTCAGTTAAATTCTTCTTTTCTAGGTGGAGAGCCATGCTTTCTTGTCATTATTTATAGATATCTCTCTAGGCCTTCAAAGCAGCTCGCATAATAAAAGCAAGTAAAAACCAACCATCGCAGTATTAAAATACAGTGATTACATTGTTCCATATGCTACAGCTCGGGTTATTTGGAAGAAATGGCATGCATTCTTTGCTGGATATAATGCTAAACTGTGGTCTAGTATAACATGAGTGAGTCTTAGGCTCATGTGATCTCCACTTTCCTTGGTGATGAAGAGATCAGAAGCTTTCACTTCCAGTTTTAACTAATTGCAGCATAGCATTGTATCTGAACACAAACAGTCTTTAGTTTTACGTATGGCTTAATGAAAGAAGCCAACCTCAAATTGTGATTTATGAAATTGGCTTTTTCAATAAACCATAGTTAAGATTAACCTCAGTTTAAGGGTTTGATGTAATGCTAAATTGTGGCTAATTGAAAA